GGGTGGGTAGATGCTTGAGAACTGTCGGATGGAGGAGTGCCGTTGTGGCTTGCATCTACAAGGGCGGAGAATGGACGTGCGGCTTCTGCGCACCATACAGCACACAGCTGTGGGACCTAATGGAAATAGATAAAGGGTCCTGGGTCAGTGAGAGCATTCCTGGGGCTGAATGATGTAATATGTCCAATATGGGACACTTACCTCTTTGGGATCAATGTCACCAGTCCCAGTAATCCCAACACTGGCCAGAGTGCGCGTCTTGGATGCCTCTTATTGTTTGCGGAGGCAGAGGGCGGCATGCTTGTTCAGGTTACCACATGAGGAGTCAGACATAGGCCGGTTGATCTTGGTAGAACACCTATGTGCATGCAAAAGAAGAATGATATCATGATGTCAGCAAATATACCAAAAGGAATGATTTCATATGATTGGAAGAGAAAACTTACATTTTACAATGGTAAGCAATCATGAACCTTCCAGACTTGTCCTTTTGATCAGAGAGCTCTGGTACCTGGTAGTTATTGTAGCTAGAGCTGACAGCGTTGGCGGCAACCCTCCGAGCGCGCTCTGAAAAAGAAGCGACGTAGCGAGCATGGTAGCGAAAGGAGTAGCGACCGAGCGAGGTAGCGAAGGGAGTAGCAAGTGAGCGAGGTAGCAAACGGAGTAGCAAGCGAGCAAGGTAGCGAAGGGAGTAGCGACCGAGCGAGGTAGCAAAAGAGGATCAAGACAGTTAGCGAGAGAGGAATGAGTGAGGAATGTAAGAGAACGAGATCAATCAATGAAGAGGGAAAGACTCACCTAACTCCTCTGCATCGGTCAACGGATGGTTGACCTGGCGGGGAGAGCTTGGTTCTTCGGATGATGTACGGGCAGCGTCTTTTTCGTTATCGTCGTGCGGTTGATCCGGAGGAGAAGGTGTGTCCACTGGTCGATCCTGATCGTGTGTGGCATGGGTTTTTAAACGGGTGCGGGGTGGCATGGTGGGTTGGTGTAGGTTGACCTGGGGTGGTGGTGTGCGGGTTGGATACCGTTGGTGCCTGGTACCACTGATATCCAACCCTATGCCCTGGGACTGGATGGGTACCTGGTCATCGGGTGGCTATACAGGGGGTTTGAGGCGGTACCTAGGAGAGTACCCGGGTACCGGGTCTGGGTTTGGACAAAAACAGACACCAGGTACCGCACCCGGGGCCTGTTGGCGGGTACCGGAGGAGTGAAGGCGGTACCCGCCAACGGGTCCCGGGTACCGCCCAACGGGTACCGCAAGGAAGGCCATCTTTAATTCACAACAAGAGCCATTTTATGGCAAAAACACTTAATATGCATTGTCTTATGCTCCCATTCGAAGTTACCGTCCGTGTCAAGAAGGGCCAGTTTGGTGTGCATTTCTTCAGCCATGGTATTGTTATTCGAACCTGAATCGGTGGTCTGACATAGCATGTAAATATGAGAAAATAAAATTAGGTTTGACCTTTTATCATGAAAATAATTAACAAGTTAAAAATACTTATCTTATTGTAGAGTTGATGTTTCTGCAAGATATTGACGATCGGGGCGGCCAGCAATTCCCCTTGATGAAACCAGGCAACCAATTTGAGGCTTAAATGAAGCACAACGTAATTCCAATCCTTATCGATAAAAGATGCTGATACACCAATGAATCCATAGCGATTTCCTTTTGTCGTCCATACATCGTGTATCAAATTGAACTTGCTGTTGGTTGCCTGATTACATATAATATGAACAATATAAGTAGATTGTTCTTTGAATTTAATGAGATTAAACTACTTACTTTTATTTGTCTAACCACTTCTTCTTGTAATTCCAAGTACGCTGTTCTTGAAGCCGTTGCCGCCCATTTTCTTTTGAACAAATTCGCAGCAGGTTCACAGTAGTTGAAGGCGGCCTGAAGATAAGGGTCCTCAACTCGATTCCAAGGTATTGCCTGGCGCAACAGCCATAGAACTACGACTCGATTAAGGATAATATTGTCGAACTTTTCTACTCTAGCAAAGTGACTCGTGATTTCTTGAGTTCCTTTCTTCTTTTTCTCTTCATCCAGGGCCGTCTGAGGAAGTTTAGCTCCAGCAGCGATAGCCTTTGCACGGTTTGGACATCCATTTGAGACCCTTCCAGTTTGACGAGAGCCATCACGATGCACACGAAGATTGGAAAGACTAGACGCTGAGACCCGGACTTCTTTCTTACACCACAAACAGCTATATGTTGACGGAGGTTTATCTGCAGGCTACAAGAACAGAAAAAAGAGGGAAAGAATGATTAGAATGATGTTATTAATTAAGATGTTCAGAATAAATACAACAAGTCTCACTTACATCATCCTTACGGCGAAAAGGTTCAGAAAAAAAAACCTTGATATCATCCTCCTCCAGGTTCTTCCTTTGCCTCTTGAATTTGGCCTTCACATTTTCTTCATCAGAGTCCTGCGCAAGGTCGATCGTGGTTCCAGGGTTTGCCTCAGAGTTGCCAACTGAGGTGGCGCCAGTGGTTTTCTTGGGTTTTTTGGTTGGTTTTTTGTTGCGTGGCTTCTGAGACTGAACTGGAGTGATTTGAGGGGTAGAATCTGAATCGGTGGGAGCTTCAGTTCGTTTCTTGGTTTGACTGCTGGGATCAATAGCTGGTCTTTCTGACAGAAGTGGCTGGGTGATTGATCGACGGGAATCTGGTGAAGGTTGAATCATTCCTGATCGCTTCATAGGGGTAGTGACTCGTGAGGATCGACGAGTTTGCACCTCCGTGGCATCGCTTACGTTGCCAGACTGGTTTGACATGGAAGATTGGGTTGGTTGGCTCAACATTTTGCACTTGGTGGTTGTTGTTGGGGTAAGTGAGTTGAGTATTGGATTGGAGTTGGCTGTGATGGTGGTTGTTGTTTGGGTAAGTGAGTCAAGCGTTGGATCGGAGTTGGTTGAACTTGTGACGTGTCAGGTCAGGCTGGCTTGTGCGGCACTCAATTTTTTTTTCTCACCCGAAAAATTTCTTCACCCCCAAAAAATTTTTTCACCCCCGGGGCCCAAACCACATACGTGTCAAGTCAGGCTGGCTTGCACGGCCCTCAAATTTTTTTTCTCACCAGAAATTTTACCCCTGGGGCCCAAACCATATGCTTGCTCCTGGCCCAACTGGGTGCATCCCACAAACATACCAGTGGAGACTCTTCACTCCAAAGAAAAACAGGAATGCCAATCAACAAAAATTCAAAGAATGTGAATCAACAAAATGATACCACTGACACATATGTACTGTACCCCTTTGAAATTCTCAATCCTATTGTTTAACAAATATTATATCAGCATACACACATCTGTCTCACCATTATTTTTCATTCTTAATCTGAAATCAATATTATTTTATCAAAATATGACAACATGATGAAATAAAGAAGGATTAGTATAAAATTCATCCACAAGAACTTGGATCAATTACTCAAAATATTAAATATTTAAATTTACTTTGGGGTTTATTGAAGTAGAATTGAGATTGTGAATGCACTGGCATTGTAAATAGGGATGTAATCAAGAGGGATTAGTACCAAATTCATCCAGAAGATCATGGATCCAATACTCCAAATATGAGATACATTGAAGTAATTGATTACTTGCATGTAATGTAAGTAGACTAGGGATCAAAATCATCAAGCCCACCATTTATGATTTTATAGTGCATCAAATTAAGAAAATAGCCTGGGATCCTTTAGTGTTGTGTTCATATTACAGTAAATGTGCAGATGATAGAAAAAGGTTTCATCACAAAAGTCATAAAAGATATGGTGAAATATAGTTGAATTATTCATATACTACCTGAATCCTCAAATTTTGTTGAAATCAGTATTTATTAATGGAGAGGTCATTCTGAGAACAGGATTCAAATTGGATTATCTAAACTGAGGAAGTAAACCATATCATTTGAATTTGATTCCTTTGCAATTTCAGATAATATTATAAATTTCACATAGCACATGTTAGATCAAGATTCAACTATATGAATCTCCATTCAAATACTTGATGAACACTCATTATAATGATAATTATGATACAACAATACTAAGGTCATCATGTGGGTATTGCTGTGAATCATATTATCAATAGGTATAAACTGTGATGAACAGAGATTATTATGAATTATCTTATCAACAATTACAACAATACTAAGGAGAATGATGTAGGCATTGCTGTGGTTCATTTTACCATTAATTATAACTGAGCACACCCATGATGTATTCTTGTGGTTCTGAGACTGAACACAGATTATACTAATATCATGGTGGATATTTGAGGTTAAACAATGAAAATCTTTATTACAATTTTCAAACTGTTTCATTCTTGAAGTTCTGAACATAGAATAGGCTATGATTATTGTGATCAAGCAATGACAATCTTTATCACAATTTTCAAATAGTTCCTATGTATTCATTCATATATTCCCTCAATTTTTAACTTCTCTCTGCACTCAATCTAACAGATGAATCTCTTTATTATCAGAATGAACAGAATTGGCTTTCATAAATTATCCAGAATTGATTATCTTTGAAATCACTTTTTTTACAAAATATTAAATCATTCTGTTACAGTTAAGGATGGATCTTTCTCAACTGTGCAGCAGTTTTTGATTTACATCAGATCTGATGAATTTGGGGAACTCGAGCAATTGAAGTTCAACCTTTAGTTAATATGTGAGGAACATATCATATTATTAATAAGGCTCTGCAAGTCTGTTAAATGTGGGTCCTGATTGGTTATAATTTATAATTTGTAGAATTTAAGGATCATGCAAAACTGGAATATTTAAAATGTGCCAAGTAGAAATCAGAATTGCAGAAACAGATTAGAAAAGTAAAAAGAAAGACAACATAAGGCTAGCCCAAGCTGCAGTACGAAACAAATAGTAATAATGATCTCCAAAGTAGTTTTCAGGTTTATTGTACCAATCTGCTTTAAATCTTTCACAAGCATTTGATAATCGTAAATTAATCTGAGCAGACATTCCAAGACGAGTGAAAGCAGTACTTTTAGTAGAAGGCATAGTACAATGTTTGTATCGGTTTGCTTGCCAAATCATTTTGACAATACCATGTTGATGGTCAAAGTTGATACCAAATTTATGATCAGGGAAGACAAAAGGACCAGAGGATATGTCATATGAGGATGGGTCAAGAGCCAAACTACCATCTGAAGAGTTTGTTGGAATAAACATAACAAAAGCAAACTGAGAAATATCTTCTTTATCGGAATGGGGAGCATTGTAAAAATGATCAGTTGTAAAAACTAAATGGGGGGAGCAATCAGATTCGGTTTTTTCTTCATGAAATTCAAGAGAGGAAAATGAAGGAATATTATGTTTCTTCATTAAGTCTTGGTTTTCTTCAAATGGGGTATTAGCCATTTGTTTGAAATGGCACGCAAGGATATCTGCAATCTTATGGGATTCATTGAAATGCTTGTCGAACTCTTCCATGTCTTCAGTTTCGAATTTTTTGATATACCTACCAACAATCTGACCACCATCAGATGACTTCCTCCACCCTATCACCCACATCAATCCACCCCACGAACGGCTATCCACGGCGACAGGCGAGATGAACTTTTTTGACTGATGGAGAAAAGTGGTTAAAAGGTTCAGGTCGGCCTTGTCTTGCTCGGACATATCTTCGAACTTGATGAAGTCGATGAAAGCAATAACAGATTCCTTATCCAATGGATCTTGGACAATGTTTCGGCCTGTCTTGAAAAGATGGAATGTTTCGACTTGATCGTAGGCAGATTTGATCTCTTTGGGAGTGGGTGGGCGAGTTGGTTTCTTGTTGCGATCAACTGGGATGGTTGGATACAGGTCGAGTTCTTCATATTTGACTCGCCTCCAATTGACAAAGTGAGTGGTATCACTTGGGTTGAGAGTTCTTTTGAGAATCTGGTCTCGAGTTTCCTGTTGTTTTTTGGCCTTGCATCGTTTCTTTGCCGCTTTCCTACTAGCATTATTATGACTATCAAAAATAAATAAGTCCCAAGGGTTTAAATCACCCAAAGATCAAATCATTTCATCATTTAGCAAATAGCCAGTAGGAGCACAAGGAAAGAGGAAGAGTAAGAACAAACAAAAAGAAACACTTTATCAATAACCTGCAGAATGGTAATACATAAATCAAATCATACCGCTTGTTTTTTCCCATCTTGTTTTTAATCGGTGGTGTTCAGTCAACCAAGTGTGCGTGCGTGCGTGTGTGTAGCTGAATCAATGATGGGGGGGGAGGGTAGCAATGATCAGAAGGGTAGCTGAGCAAGGTAATATCAGGCAGGGTAGCTTACATTGGTCAATTGGTGAAGCGTGCGTGAGGGTAGCTAGGCTTTAGTCAAAAGAATGGGGAGGGTAGCTGAAGGTTGTCCGTCAGACGAAGTGTGCGTGAGGGTAGCTAGGCTGTTGTCAAAAGAAGGGTAGGGTAGCTGTCAGTATTCATTCTATGTGTGTGGGTGTGTGAGGGTAGCTTAGAGTGTAGTAGGGTAGCTGGGGATAGGGTAGCTTTAGGATGTGGGGAAGAAGGGTAGCTACATTTGATTAATCGATGATTACATCGATTAATCGATAGGATTGGATTATCGATTAATCGATTAATCGATAATCGATAATCGATCTAGATCGATTGATCGATCTAACCGATTATCGATCTAGATCGATTAATCGATCTAACGATCAATAATGGATCTAGATCGATTAATCGATCTAACAATCGATAATCGATGTTAGATTGATTAATCGATTGTTATAGATCGATTAAACGATCGATAATCGATCTAACAATCGATTATCGATTGTTAGATCGATTGGAGGGTAGCAGGAGGGTAGCAGGAGGGTAGGGGGGGGTAGCAGGAGGGTAGGGGGGGTGGATTGAGGGTATGGGGGGGGATGGAGGGTAGGGGGGGGGATAGAGGTGAAGGTGTAGCAGAGAGGAACTCACCGGTGACCAGGGGATCCACAAGGACACAACGGTGTCAAAATCCAAACGTACGATGAGGGTACCTGGGAGGGAGGGAGAGAGGAAAAGGGGGAAAGGTCAGTTAATGTCAAAAGATGAAGTGAAGGGTACAGACCTCGAATATTGAGATGAGTGTTGAGATAAGTGATGAGTGTTCTGATGAGAGTGATGAATGAGTCTTGAGATGAGTACGATGAGTGTTTGGAGTACGAAGTGGTGGAAGACAAATTTCTTCAACCAACCGGGGAAAAATTTTACCGAAGGGGGCTAAAATCTGATGGGCCCCATGACCAAATGAAAAAAAATTGATGAAATATGAGATGAATCAGATCTTGAACCCCTAATCAGGCTACATTTTCAGGGTAGCGCTAGGCATGTGGTCAGGGAGGAGCCTTATAAGAATTCCCCCCAGACCACATGTCAGTGCTCACCTTTTGTGCCATGGGTTCTATTCCCACTTGGCACATTAATTTTCCAAAGTGATGAGTTACGCTACACTACCTATGTAGCTACGCTAAGTTACGCTACACTACATATGTAGTTACGCTACTCTATGTAGCGTAGCTACATAGGTAATGTAGCGTAACTTAGCTTAATTTATTATGAATTACGCTACATGTTAGCTGGAAATTAGTTACGCTACTGGTTAGCGGAAATTTTGTTAGTGTAGAAAAAGTTACGCTATTTGTTAGTTCAGCGGTTATTATTTACAACTAACACTAAAAAAAAATTGAGGGGAAAATTTCTCGCTACGCTGGCAGTTAGCTCAGCGGTGTGTAGCGTGAACTAACACTACAGGATTTCCAGAAAAAAAAACCCCCACTACGCTAACAGGTAGTGGCCAAATAGCGTAGTGTAGCGTAGCGGCCCACCGTTGACATAGTTGATGGCGAACGAGGTTGCTCAAATTCCAGCCTGCTGAAGTTGTGCTCGATCCCATTCCCCACCGGGCTGCGCGTGAGCTTGCGTGAAGGCGAGCGGAGAATGCCACCGCCTCTCCCGGGGACGACCTCTATGTCGGTGCTAGAACTGCTCACACGTCCCAAGCCAGCAGCGCCAATGGGGCTGCAGGTCCGCCAGGTCTCCTCCATATCGGCCTCCAGGCCCACGTCCTCCGGACCTGTGAGATCAACACACCCGCGTGAGGTAGGAGTATCGCCGGAAACCGAGATTGATGGGCTATTTGTCTGGTGTGACAAACGGCGCTGAACAGCCGCACGGTGTGGAACTTTTCAAGCTAAAGAAAAGAGCTTAGAGAGGAAAAGAACAACTACACAGGGGAAAATGTGAGTTGAAGACTTGGATGCTGATGAAGCTGCCCTCTTGTCAAGGCTTGGGAGAGAGTTACACTAAGAATTAAAGAAAAGGTGTGGCTATTTCTGTGGGTAATCTTAGTATGAGATTTATTACTGATGTCTTGTACAAGTCACCTGCTGAGAAATTGAGGATGTGGGGGATTCTGGTAAGGATGAGGCTCTGGGGGATAATGGTTTCTGGGTTCAATTTCTTATCTTCTGGGGGAAAATCAATAATAATTACTTCTGGTAACTACTAGTAAGTGATGTCTGCTAAGTAATTATCTGTTTACTTCTCTAATGCAAGCATGGGGAACAAAGTAAGTGGGAAAGAGTCTTCTCTATATACATGTGGGTGGTTCTGATCAGGTACTAGTGGTAAAATATCAGCTGATGTAAGAAGATGGTATGAAATAAGTTGTATCTGAAAGACAATTGGTTATGAAATAAATGTGGCTGACAAATGCGTAGTGTGAAATAAACATGTTGAAAAGGAGAAAATATGAAGTAACTTCTGTTTATGATAAAAATAATATGTAGTGCAAAAAGAAATGAGATAATAAAAGACTGAAATAAATATTCTGAGGTGAGATGAGAAATCTGTGTGGTGAAATATATATGTAGGTGATATAAGCAATGAGTAATGAGTTGAAATGAGATGTATGATGAGAATGTAGGTGATATAAGCCATGTGTGTTGAGTTTGAAATGGAATGTAAGAATGAAATACTTGTAGTATGAAATAAATGCAGAATAAAATAAATGTAGAATGAAGTAATTGATGTATGAAAAGAAGTGGATGATGATTGAGATGAGATGACAATATCTGGATGAGAAATCAGATGTATGGGATGAAACAGTATATGTAGTCTGAATAAGTGATATCTGAGATGAAATAAATAACATTTACTGAAAGATTATTATCATAGAAAGAAGGTACTGAGGGAAGACTAATTTGTATCTTGAGATGTGTGATATGTAGTATGTTGTAGCTATGTAGTACTATATATTATGTAACCAAACTATGTGTAAAAATACTATTCTGTAGCCTTCTGAACTGGATACAAGACAATGAATTATGTAGCACAAGTATATCAGGTTGTAACATCCTAAAAACTACTATGTATAACTATTTTGTACTATGTATGACCTTGATTGGTCTCACCACAACGGCCATCACCTGATGGGAAACCTTTGGCGGGGATCAATCGTGGGGGTAGGATCCGTCCGGTGGCCGAGAGACCTACAGGAGTAAATACTAACCCGCTCGGTTGGCTGTCAAGGCCCAGGGACAAGGTGCGCAAAGACCCTCTGAGGGATTTTGAGGGTGATCTGGAAGGAGAAGCCCCTCGCTTATGGCGCGACATTCGGGATTCCTGTTTCGCAGCCATCTCGTCCACGGTAAGCACCTGGACATCCTCCGGGACGCACTCCTTGCATTAAGGAGCCGTATCCAAGTCGACACCTTTAGCGCCATGGAGCATTGCGCGGCTCCAGGCTCGGAGGGCATTGGTTGTCACTCGGATGGATCGCTTCGGATCTTCTGGATCTTGCACCCGCATGGACTCTGTGTTGCACCCGTACTTGGTTCTGATGTGGTGGGTGATATCAGCTACCAGACGCATTCGCTCCTGGGCGCCCACATCAGATTTGGGCTAGACAGACAAACAAGGCCAGCCCATCAGGCGTTTGGACATGACCTAGCATATTAACAAACCAACTCACATTGACTGCCAGGCGGGTATGAACGCGCTGAAGCGCCAGACGAGTGTCCTCGTCTGCGTAGTTCATGGCCAAACTGTCGTCCACCTTTTTGGCCTGTAGAAATGCAGATGGGCACCCAAGTCAGCTCCAGGCACCCAAATCAATAACAATGAGACGGCTTACCTCGTCGGAGTCCTTCGCGGACTTATTAGGATCGTCCATGAGGATCTTGATCATTGCCTTGTTGCTTGAGTTATTGCCGACCGCCTGGACAAATGGCGCAAAGTCCGCGTCGTTGGTGACATAATAGTTTTTATTCTGCCCAAATTGGGGGTCCTGATGAAGAATACAAAGCCATTTAAGCAAGCCTTCCTCCTGCAGCCGGCGCAGGTGATCACCGATGTGCTTGCGGGTTGGGGCGCACAGCCGGATGATCTCTTGCTGACAATCGGCCCACGCATAGTAAGACAGGTCGACCTTCCAAACCGTCTCAGACTTCGAGGGCGGCGCAACCCGATCCCATTCTTTGGAGCCGGAAGCTTTACCTGCTTTACCCAGTTGGCTTGCCACAGGTCTGTAATAGACAAGGTAGTCCAGATATATCGCTCGCAGTTGAGCTTTCGGAGGCGCAGCGTCCGAGGTTTGTCCAGATGCCCGCTCGTAGGCATTTCCCGCCATTCCGGCGGCCCTGAATTGACTCTCGGTGCAGGTGTTGTCCGGAAGGCCTCGGCTTTGGGGTCGGCGGATTGTGAGGGCTCTAACCAAGACTCCTGCGAGCCATTGGGCGCATTTTCAAAAGGCAGTGGGGGAAATCGCCCGCGGAAATTCGAAGCGTCGGCCATTACCAAGCACTTCAAGTTTGGTGTCTGTCAGCTGCTTTCCACTTCATATTGTACAATGTCCAGGGAAAACTCACGCTGGCGATCAAGTTGGGTCGATAAGGCTTGTGATCGTCCAAATGTCGGAGTTCAAAGGCGGATTGTGAGATGCAAACTTTGGAATTTGTGAGCTGGGAAAATTGGAGGCAGCGACAACGGCCTGTGGTGTTGGGCCGCCGGCCGTTGGGGCCAGCTGGTGTTGGGGCCGGGATCGGGGGCCATGGTATGGGATATAGTAGAGAGAGAAATATAGGGAATGGTTGCGAAGAATAGGAAGATTTGGAATGTATACAGGCACCTGCATGAGGTCGTAAAAAATTTGGGTCGTAATTTTCTAGCTCGCGAAACCGCAAGCTTTCCTGTGTTAGCTGTATCTAAATAGAAGTATTACTTAAGTGCGCAATGTAAAATCAATCAGCACTAAAAAAAAAAGAAGACCAGGACTTGAAGATTGTAATGTTGGATTCAAGACATTTGATTGTCTCATATAATTTTGAGATTTATGATCATATAAAGATACACCACCAGTGCAGTTGGACGTCCTAGGGGCAGGGTCCAGGGGGATGGCCCCAGGACAGCAGCCCCCACATATCAGAGCATCCCAGGCGCGTGCTCCTCCACAAATAGAGGGCCATCTCTGGGACATCCTTGTGGAGCATCCATGTGACGTCCCCTCAATCCATCCCACTGCTGTCCTGGAGGTGTTTCAGGGCTGTCTCATCAAAGAATTTACATCCGCATGGTTTTTGGCATGTGGTGTCTCGGAGCTGGTACCAAGATGGCATAGAAAATTGTCTTATGCACATCCACCAGCTAGCCCAAGGATACTCATGGCACAATAACCACACACCAATGTGCAGACATTGAATTAAATAGTGAAATGATATGCATGGTGAATAACACACTGAAGCATATGATTGATCATTTACAACAACAACAAAAAATGTAAGAAAATCTGAGTGAGAAATGCACCAGTGCAAATCAGCCTGAACCTCGTCAGCCCGGCCATCTTAGCACGGGCGGGAATATAGGGAGAGGCACAGAGACTGAAGGAATACTGGGTAGCGTAGACGTCCATAAGACTAGCGCAATCGTGGTTGAAGGCGTTAAAGAATTGGAGACAGAAGGCGGCAACAAAGGTTGAGGTGGAAGAGTCGTTCATGAAGGCCGGTTGGATTGACATTGGGAGGGGTGGTTGAGGAGGGAGCGTGTCGAGTGGCTTGGCCATCAACTGAGACCTGTTGGGTGTAGCCGGACGGTCGCAACAATCATCGCCTTCATCGTCGGATCAATCGCCTAGCCATCTATGACTTCTAAGCTGGGAAAGCGTTGGACAACTTCGAAGATATGACTTCTAAGCTGGGAAAGCGTCGGACAACTTCGAAGAGATAGCTCTGTAGACCTGTCTGTCTGTCCTTCTCGGCATGCATCTAGAGGGGGTTGCCTGTCAGGATCAGCTCGCGTAGACTCGTGAGGCCAGACGAGCAGCCGTTTGTAATCCCGGCGCGTCCGGTCGTCGGTCAGGGCGCATTGAGATCAGAAAACAAGCCTATTTGGTTTCCTGCTAAGGATACACCACCGAGCGGTGTTTTTTTTATCCGCGCGTGGGCTTGGCCGCGGGGTCAAGAACAGGTCTGGCTTGACCTATCTGCCCTGTGTTCAACAGCGGAGACAGGCCAACACCGGAAACTGGTCAGCTTGACGTTGACCTGACCCATTCGACCCAAGTGTCATGCCAGCATCGGCGGTACACTCTGTTGGCATAACAGTCGGGTTGATGAGGTGTCATGCCTGACACAGCCGCGCTCAAATTGCCCCAGTGAGCAGGCCAACGTTGTTGGATGGGTGGGCATGCCTGATCGACCACGCTGGCCTGCTCTTGCGGCAAACATGAGCTGGACATGAGGTGTCCTGCCAACGATGGCTGGCCTTGCAGGGCAAGCCAACGCAATCGGCCGATGAACACCCTGTCATAGCCCGGTGAGCACTGATCTGTCAGTGATCCGTCGAGCAGCTGAGCTTGATCATTGCATCTGACTCGCCCCGACCACACCAGAAAAAATGGAGCCCGCTATCAAGAAACTCTCAAGCACTCCTGAAGATGGCCTCGCCAGCAGCCCCGAGCCCACCACGGCGCACGTCCAAGACGACCCTGCCAACAGCCCCAAGCCCATCGCGGAGGACGTTGAACCCATCCGAGCGCGCGCTGACCCCATCACCAAGCCCAACACATCGGCTGAACAAGGAACCAGCGGAACTGCCCCGGCACCACAGATGGCAGCCGGACGATCACCTGTGAGGAAGAATGTGAGTATTTCCATCGAAAGTGCTCAAGATTTGAATGGCACTCACCAGCCCTCCTTTCCCAGACTGTAAATTCTCCCAACATGCCAGTCCGACGCAGCCGTCGCATCTTCGATCAAGAGCACGGGTTAGGCAGCTTCAACATGCCCATTGGCTATGGTCGACTCCACCAAGCACAGACACGTGCTGTACCAAAAAATCCTCCTCACTGAGTTCAGCTTTTTTCCTCCAAGTTCACCCTTGTCATCGACAACAAAATAACTTTGCATTTTTCAATGTACAGTAGTAGATCATGTATTACAGTTTCGATAGGATGTATTCACTATTTACTCCAAATCTAACTTGGTAGTAAGCTGGGATCTGTTCTTGAAGTCGACGCCATCGGACCCGATCTCTTCTTTTGAGCTTTCTTATCTGCCTTTTTGTCTTTCTTTTCTACCGTAGACCCCCAAGTTTTGATCCCATCGTGCATCGCATTGATCCAATCCAGTGGTTGAAGCAGCTTGATAGGCAAATCAGAGAAGGTTCGATGATTGATTGCTGATGAAAGTGATGCGAGATTGATTATGTATCTCTCGTTGTCATTGTGAGTAAGCTCGAGTGCCAGGTTCGAGCTTTTCCTTTGCTCAACTTCTTCAGCCCGTGTTTCAGTGAGCCTACAATCGCCACGGTGACAATCGTGCTGGACATTCAGTCCAGTAACAATGCTCTGTTATCAAAGAAATCAAATAAGTAATTGATATTGTATTAATTTATCACATTCTCAAAAGGGACTCAACATTAGTTGCAACAAACACTCTTTGAGAGGTTCTCCTAATCTCCCTCATCTTGTAATAAGAACTTTCACCAAGTTTTTCAAATACAGTTGTGTGGATATAGAATGAGCGTTGATGGCTGGGCTTTTGAACTATCCAGATAGAGTTGATTACTCCAACTTTCTGAGAGTTTTCGGACTGACTGATGTTGAACTTGGAAATCAAATTTTTGAAAAAGTCAGCCAATTGAAAATTAATTAAAACAGGAAAAAGAGAAGCAATCATATGGATTATAAATACCAAGATGAAATAATCTTTCTTCAGTACTTGCTTTCTGTTGAGTTTGATTTCAGAAATTTGTGTTAATTCATGGTCAGGAAATGAATTTATTAGATTCTGAGGAGTGGCTATTTGATTGTCTTTTGGTACTGAAAGTTTCTTGATTTGAGGATACTTGATATCTGGAAGAGATGTTGATTGATTATAGCCAAGGGTTTGCTGGACTAGGGGATTACAGACAAAAGTATTGGTGACTTGGTTGGAAGATTGGGAAAATTTCCCTTGTTTCTTGTTGAAGAAGTAACCACCAGAGATAATTTGACGGAAAGAGTGATAATTACTAAAAGTAACAGCTATATCTTGGCCAGGACTGTGACGGTTGGAGTGGATTGAAGCATTTCGAAGAATACCATTGTAACTTTCAAATTTTTCTGTTGCAAAAAGACAAGCCGGGCCAAATCGAAGAATAGACTCTGGAAGATGAAGTAACATGTGAAACTTGGGTTTATTAACCCATTGGGCAGAATTTTGGATGATGTGATTTAAGAATATATCAATATGATTCTTCAAGTCAGGAATATATGTTGCCATATTTTCAATGTGAGTTTGAAAGATTAAAGAACACATATGACAGAGAGAAGACCAGATGTTGATGATGGATGGAGTCATGAACTTGAAGAAGATGAAGGGAGCTGCTTGAAGAATTATTCTAAAGTCTTTACCAATTAAACTTGAAGAATATTGTACCAAGCTAGTGGGTCTGATGGAGGGGATGTTGAGAGAATTTGTGTTGAAAGAATACCATAACACCAAGAGTTCTTTTTCTTGATCCTCGTCCAATCCCTTCATGAAATCTTGAAACAAATATTTTACTGCCCCAAGCAAGATTACGTGTAGAGCTTCGACAGGAGTATCCTTGACCATATCAAACCCTAAATAAGAAGAAAAAGAGGCAAAATAAAATCAGAAAATCAAACAACTGAATAAAAAAATCAGCTAAATAAAAACCTCTCAAATCCAAGAACCGATTAAACATTCTCTCAGGTTCCTTTTCTTCCAAATCCACCAATGTTTGAGGAATTGGCTGATCCATCTCAGGTGGTAATTCGCCATC